AGCCCATTTCAAATCTCACCTTTAGGGTTTCCTTAAATTAAATGCAAATTTGGCTGACTTTTTTTTTTTTTTTTTTAAGCGCTAAAGAGAGAAGGAGAGAGAGAGAGAGAGAGAGAGAGAGAGAGAAATGAAAGAAACATAGGCAACCTTTTTGTGCACAGGACGATATTCCAACCAACTGAGCCACCCAGCCAGGGCTAGCTGACTTCTTATCATGGATGATTAGAAACCATTTAGCCAAGGATTCTTAACCAAGTGTCCATGGACCAGGGGATGATCAAAGCATGGACTTCATGACATCTCATGATGCCTGAAATTATAATAAGTGTGTGTGTGTGTGTGTGTGTGTGTGTGTCTGCATGTGTGCCCATATGCATTTTTCTGGGGAGAAACTCTGCAGTTTTTATTGTATTTAAAAAAAAAAACAGGCACACACACAAAAACAATGACCCCATAAAAGGTTAATAATTACACTAGTTCAACCCCTCACATTATAGGTGAGAAAATTGAATCCAGAGAGAAAGTGGCTGCCTGAGATTTCATAGTCAAGATCAAAATCCAGGTTCCTTGATACCATCCTCCCCTGACTAGTCCCCTGAATCAGGATCCAGCTACAGTTTCCCATGCCCTCCTCTTGGCTCGCATGGATCTGACTGAACAGACTGGAGGCTTTCAGTGGCAATGGGCCAATGAGAACTCACTTCCAGACATGCCTGTTCCCAGGAGGTCTTGTAGGGGAAGACTCATGGGGCATCTCCTGACTCACTTCCTTAAAGGGCATGTTAGCTCCACATGTTAAATCCACCTCTTGTACCTTGATGCTCACACCTGGCAGGAAGTGCCCCTGCCCCTTCTGACATTGGGTCTGGAGAAAACTACTGGTAAATGGTGCCCTGGGGGTGGGTGGGGGTCTTTGGAAAAGTATCTGATGGATAGGCAGGAAGTCATAGCTAATGGTAAGAGGTTGATGCTGGTCCACGGTATGTGGGAGGAATTCAACTCAGGGGAGTTTAGATGAAGTGGCACGTGAGGATTAAACATGATAACCAACATTCACTGAGCACTTCCTATATGCCAGGCACTTTTCTAAGAAATGTGAATGTATTAATTCCTTTAGTCTTTACAATAACCACGTAAGGTTGTTATAAGGAAACTGAGGCCCAATGAGATTAAGCACAGCTAGTAACGGCTGAGTCAGGACATGAGGCCAGATCTGCCGACTCCAGTCACTCTGGAACCAGCATGGGCTCCTTGCCTCTGTGCTGGTGGATCTCACACTTGAGTGTACCCCAGAGTCATGAGAGGATTTGTGAAAGAATAGGGTGAAGATACTACTCTGAACCCCTCAGTTTCTGATTCAGTAGGTCTGGGGTGGGGCCTGAGGATTTGCACAGTTCCCGGGTGATGCTGCTGTCTTTCAGGGACCACACTTTGAGAGCCCTTGCTTTCTGCTCTCCTGCTTACTCATAGGAAGAGATGAGCAGAGGGAAGAGAAGTGGTCATTGATCTCTCTTGTGTTATTGCAATGTTCCCCCTGGGTCCAGGCCTCGGCCACCCTCCTGTCACCTACGCTTCACTGGGGACAAATTAATCTTCCTAAAGCCCAGCTCTGATATGTCAAGCTTCTGCTCCGTCTTCTGGGCTCTCTGCTGTATGTACTAGTGCAGTCCAGTAGAACTGTCTGCAGGGACGGAAGTTTCTTTATCTGCACTGCCACTATCCACACGTGGCTGTGAATTTACCTTTTCTCAACTTTAGTTAATTTAACTTTAGTCACATGTAGCTCGTTGCTCGTCAGTGCAGGAAACCACTTGGTATGCCATTCGAGGCTCCCGTGTGCCTTTCCAGCCTCGGCCTCAGCCTCATCCCAGGCTGTAGGCTGAGGTGTTTCCTGACTCGCGCCTGCACTTCCCAGCCCTTGTTTCTATTAGCTCCTCCGTCTAAACTGTGCTTTAGTCCTGCCTTTGATGCTCAACCCAAATGCTACCTCTGCCTAGGAACCTTCTTTGACACCCGCTCCGCTATAACCTCTTTCTCCTCTGAACTCCTAAAACACTTTATCCTTTTCTTACAATCTTTAGTCCCTTTTGCCTTCTATTGCAGCTGGCTGGTGGCAGTGCTTTTAAAAAAATATATATTTTCATTAATTTCAGAAAGGAAGGGAGAGGGAGAGAGAGATAGAAACATCAGTGATGAGAGAGAAGCATTGATCAGCTGCCTCCTGCACACCCACACTGGGGATCGAGCCCGCAACCCGGGCATCGAACGGCGATCTCCTGGTTCAAGGGTTGGCACTCAACCATTGAGCCACGTCGGCTAGGCTGATGTCAGTGTTTTACTTCTTTCCCTAAGCTGTGAGTTTTCGGCGAGTGTGCCTGTCTTCCAGCTGCCCTGTTCCCTAGCACAGGTCCTTCCAGGTGCATGGGGGAGCTCCCTAAATCCCACAAACCTTTGTCCTGGTACATTGGGGAAACAGATGGATAACATGTCCTTCCTGCTCCCAAGCTGCCACAGGCCTCACAAGAGTCTCCTGATTCACACCCAGAGAACCATGAAAGCCATTGGTTATTTTGGGCAGGAAGATAAAAGCCACAGTGGGCCCAGTTGGTGAGGGGAGTCCGGCACTAGCTGCCCAGGCAAAAGGCTGTGTTTACACACACAGGCAGCTTCTCTGCCCAGCCTGGCCTGGTACGAGGCGATGGGAACATCCAGGCCTTGCTGCCTGGCCACCTTGTGAAGTTGGGGATTAACCAGTGATGCAGCAGCTGGTCCAGCCGTCTGGTCCACACAGATGGGTGGATGAGGAGAGGGCTGCAAAGACCGCAGAGCAGTGCAGGCTTCTGGAAATGGTCCTTTGGCTTAGTGGCACCTGGGCTGGGAATGCAAATACAAGAATGTGTATGTGCTCTGAGCAATGGACAGGCAGCAGGTGAAATTTTGCCCTGGCTAGGAGATTTATGAGTTTTTAGAGCAGTCTCTCTTGACACGGAAAGATGATTGAAAAGAAAAATCAAACAGCTTTCTGGCTTCAGACTAATACTAAGAGTATTTAATACCCCCAAAACTTCTAGCATAAACTCATCTCTGGGACAAAACATTAAAAAAAATAAAACTTTATTGAAGTTATAATATAGATTCAGAAAGGTACACAGACCATAAGTTTACATGTATTTGTATAACTACCCCTCCGCCCCCACCAGCAAGAACTGAAACAGCCAGCATATCCATAGTAAATGTGTGTTACAGCAAATATATGTAGGATTAATGGTGGAAACAGGCTTTGCAGTCAGGAACACCTGGGATTGAATCCTGCTCCCCCGCCCCTACCCACTAGCAGTGTGAACTTAGACGAGTGACTTAACTGTTCTGAGCTTCAGCTATCTCTCCTGTAAAATCGAGGTGGAATATGTCATCTCTGCCTTACAGAGCAGTAAGAAATTAAAAACGGAAAATGTATGCAAATTGCTGGGCACAGCTCCAGCACGTCATGGGGACTCACAAGCTCTCTGCGATGATGATGTTGATGGATGGTGTCGCTGCAGCCTCCCCGGCACACGGGGCCCTAGGCATACACGCAGAGCTTTGCTTCTTTGCCTCTCACGGCTCTCAGCCTTTGTATGATACTCTCTACGGCCTCTTCTGACGGCAAGGAATCTGTAATTCTGTGATGATGCAAATCTCAGCTGACACTCCAGTCACCTGATGGGAGGATGGGTGGACGTCTGTATCCAGTGGGAATGTGGCCAGATCTTTTGTATTCAGGCCCCAGGAGTATGGCACCCAGACCTCCTAGGGGAGGGCTGATTTCCCTGTGGCAGTCAGAGTGGAGTGTAGCCAGGTGGAGTTGGATTCTGCAGAACTCAGCCCTGGGAGTGTCCTGGCACCCTGGTGAACGAACCCCTGACTCCAGCTTGCCCCCTGGCCTCTGGCTCTGGGAGTGCAGATGTGTCCCAGGGGCATACACTGTGCACATATTTTGAGCTGGGCACTGCACTGGGTAGGGCTAGAGGGCAGAGGGCAGGAAGGAGGGGAGAGGCCAAGCCGTTCCTTCCAGTTGGGAGGGGTCATTGCAAAGAGGAGGGGCTCCGGAAGGACTTCCTGGGGGATGGCTGGAAGAATGGCCATGGGAAAGGGAAAGAGGAAGAAATGTGCAAACGCAGAGAGGCAGAGCCATGCTGTACCCTTGAGGCCCAGAACCATCCAGTTTAACAGAGTTCCCCACACAGCCTGAGGATGTGGCTGAGGAGTCAGGTGAGACCAGGCTGTGAATGGTCTGGAGCAGGGGTCCTCAAACTTTTTAAACAGGGGGCCAGTTCACTGTCCCTCAGACCGTTGGAGGGCCGGACTATAGTTTAAAAAAAAAACTAGTCGGCTGCTAAGCAACAGGCAGCGGCGGCAAAAACACCCGGCGGGCCGGATAAATGTTTTCGGCGGGCCGTAGTTTGAGGACCCCTGGTCTGGAGAGTCAGGCCGAGGTGTTGGGCTTGCTTTACCAGAGAATGGGGAGCCGCTGAAGGTTCTTGCTTTGAGAAAGCAGACAGAACCAGATCCTCAAGTTGCTCAGTGGAGACCCACAGTGTTCTTGGCCAAAGATGGTGGCCTAACGTTCAAGCCACTGGAATGGGCTGTAGGAGCCTCTGGGATGTCCAGACATGTGCAGCATGTGGGGATGGGAGTGTGGGGTGTGGGTGGCGGGCTGTGGGTACAGAGGAGGAGGGGGAGGGAGAAGGAGGGAGAGAAAAAGGAGGGGGAAGGGTAGAGGGAAAGGCAAGGCTCCCATTTTTGAGAGGCTGCAGTCTTGTTGGAGAAGCCAAAGAGCTTCATGACAATTGAGCCCCAGATTCAGAAGTGGAGATGAGTTGTGGGGCCAGCAGGGTCAGGATGGTTGGAGCATGGGTGAAGGCGGGGGGCGGAGGGGGAAGGGGATGAAACCTCTGGAAGCTTTGGAGAGACTGAGGTCACCGAATGCTAACCCCTTTGTGGGTATTATGTCCTCCTAGGAGCTCTGAGATGTGGTGCTGATGTTATCCCCGTTCTACAGAGGTGGGAACTGAGGCTCAGAGAGGTTAGTGCTTTGGCCAAGGGCACACAGCTCCTGTACTATTAATGAACCTCCCCCATCCCTGCCTCTAGTGCCCTCCCCCGAGGTAAATGTTGCACTCAGGAGCTTCAACACCACCATAGTAGATATGGAAAAGTGTAGCTTTGTCGTCATTCCACGCACAGTATGACCTAATGCAGGAGCGCGTGGTTCCCACGCTCTGGGTTGGCAGATCCCTGGGGATTGCAATGCTCCCTGGAGGGGACTGAGGAGAGGATGTAGGGGCCGCTGGAGGGAGAGGTCCCGACCAGCTGGGTGTTACACCTGTCCACCCTGCCTGCTCCCTTCAGAGCAGCTGCCCGAAGGGCCTTCCAGAGAGTGTCAAGGACTAGTGAGAGTAGCCTTGCCTGGCAGAACTTCCCAGGCTCGTGGGTCATGCTGCTCTGGAAAGTTTGGCTCTGGTAGCTTCCTCCGGAGGCTGGCCCAGCTCTCCGCTGCCTGGGGCTGCAGCTCAGCCCACCCAGGCCTTACAGCCCTCTGGGGCCAAAACCAAATGCCCTGCAGCTCTCTTGCCCTGGAATACCCTCTTCTCAAGATCTTGCCTTTGTCCCAGCTCCATTTAGGCAGCCCCTCCTCCTGGAAGCCTTTTCTGAGCCCCATGGGCTGGGTTAGGGCATATTGCGTGGAAGCCTGTGTGATCAAAAGAAATATAATGTGCCCTTTACATGCGAGCCACTTATGTAATTCAAACATTTCTAGGAGCCACATGAGGAGAAGCAAAAAGAAACAGATAACATTATTCTAATGATGTATTTAATCCAATACATCCAAAATACAAAAAAATATTAATGAGATATATTACATTTCTTTCATTAAATATTTAAAATCTAGTGTGTGATTTGTACTTACAGCTCATCTCAATTTGCAAGTACCACATTTAAGTGCTCAGTAACCACTTGTTATTAGTGGCTACCATCGTGGGCAGCACAGTTCTAGAGTCAGGGAGAAGAGCTCAGGGTTTGGCATCAGGTAGACATGGCCTGCCATTTATTGGCTGGGTGAACTTTGGGATGTCGTTAAACCCTCTGTTACTTCACCTGTGAAAGGAGTAAATAATTTCGATGCTGGAGAATTGTTGTAAGGATTAAACAAATGTCTGTGTCTGGTGCCAGAGTAAGTACTCAGAAAATGATGGTGCTTCCTCTTACAGGAGCCTCTGGTTTATAGGCCATGCTCCCCAACTGGACTGATTGTGAATTCAAGGGTGGAGGCTACCCAAATTCTCTCTCCTTCCTCAGTGCCCATGTCCAGTGTGAACGTCACTACTTGCTGAATGAAAGATTAAATCCTTGGGCTAGGAGTGCTTGCCACCCACCCCTGCCCACCCAGGAATCAAGGGACCCCTGGTGACTGGGAGTCAAAGACCACTCAATGACTGTATGGGGTGACCTTGGCAAGTCTCTCATTCCAAAGATAAAAGGGGGGGTGGAAGAGGCAATGCATGAAGTGTTTGGTTTAGTCTCTGCTCCACCGGTGGCCTTGGGGGGCTGTGGCTCACACTATGTGCTTTGCCTTTCCAGCCAATGGACTGAATCATTTCCATCCTTTTTCTGGCTTTCCTCTATCCTGACACTTTTGTACCATCAAGAATTTCTCCTACATTCTAGGCAGACCAGAGAGGGATAAGGGATCCTGCCTTCATTTGCTGACCTCCCCATCACAGCAACCCCCTGACAGAAGTAGGTCAGGGAGAATTTCTCCCTTTTTATAGGTGAGAAAACTGAGTCTCAGAGAGGCCAAACAACCTGCCCAAGTAACACAGAAAGAGATGATAGAGCCAGGGCCCGAAGCAGAATTCAGAACTAACAGACCCGAAGAGACCCTCTTCGTTAGGAGAGGTGAGGGGTTCCTCTTCCTTCTTGCATTTGTCCATGGCGGCTTTCATGAGATAGGGCCCTGGGCTGGGTCCTGTTTCTGTGCCTCAGTTTCCCTGCCTATGGAATGAAAGCAGCCAAGTAACTGGGGTAATGATTTTAACTGATGTGCATAGGGTCGTGTGTTCTTCAGAGAGTGCCCCCAGCTCCCTCCCTCTCCCCAACCAGATTTCTCTAGAAAAAGTTATTGTAGGGTAAAGTGGAAAGTAGCTGGTCCAGAAAGCCCGTGTTCCAGTGCGGTGTAACCTTGGACAAGTCACTCACCACTCTGGGCCTCAGCCGGCCTGTTTATAAAATGAGGGGTGATCGATCTCATAAGATGTGAAGATTGTCATGAACGTACTTTACATACTAGAAAGTGCTAGAGAAATGTTAGTCAATAATAATAATAATAATAATAATAATAATAGAAGCAACCTAATTTTTCTGTGTGGTCCCTCTATCCTGAAGTAAAATGGGCTCTTTGGGTATTAATCCAGAATGATGTCTGGGAACGTCCTGCCTTGGTCTTTGGAATGTAGCCTGGATTTGTCTGGGAAAGTGAGAGGCTCTATCCAGCTGAGGAGGGTGGGAAAGTGGCCCTGCCCCAGGGGAGGAGGGGGAGGGCTCCTGCTGGGGGGAAGGAAGGGAAGGGGGTGGGTCCAAGGAAGGAGAGTTTATGGAGGAAGAACCAAGGGCTTTGGCCATGCAGCTCTGTCCTGCCCACAGGAGCCCAGAGTTGGGAATGCCAGCAAGCAGAGGAAGCTGAGTCAATGTGGAATAAAAATTCTTGAAGGCAGGCGGTCAAGAATCTCTTAGCAAATGTGCATATGAAACAATCCGTTCATCTGGTGTAACTCCTGGGTTTTCTGATCCTTTCACTCATTCATATGAATAAATGTAGAGTGAACTGAAATGTAGAGTGAATAGAGCACCCGCAGTGGCAGTGTGGCTTGCCCAAGGCCACGCCCCTGAGGGCTGGGGGAGTTCCTGGGAAGAACTGAATTTGAGAGCCTGGGGAGTGCAAAGTGCAAAGCACAGAAGGAAATCTGTGAGGAAGTTTGCCCAGCAGGACTCTGCTGTTCCTGTGAATTGGCCCGGGGCTGACTTTGCCATCTTCCTGTCTCCTGTCCGGAGGGAGGGCTTGTTCTCTGAGACTGGGGAGGAGCTGGCTTCCTTCTGCCCTGCCCACTCCTGAGCCTAGTGGGGCAGCAGGGAGAGTGAAGGGACCGGAAACTGTCTTGGGAACATCTGGAGGAGTTCATTGTGTTTAAGTTGGAGAAGGGAAGGCTTGGTTCATGGGTGGGGAGAAGGGACACAGTTGCTGTCTTGGGTTCTCTGAGGGGTGCTGAGGAGAGGGCCTAGCCTGGTTTTGTGGAGGCCTCAGTGTTGGCACCAGGACGGAGGGTGGAATGTCACCATGATGGAGCAGCCACCTTGGGAGGGAGTAGTGAGGGGAGGAGTTACCTGCCCTGGAGTATGGGAGTAGAGATGGATTCTGGTGAGGTTGACACGGAGGGAACTGCAGCATGGAGGACAGAAGGCTCAGCTCACATTTCCCCAGCGTTGGACATCTGTGGTTTCCAGGTGGTGGATTCTGTGGTGCCTAGAACTATAGCTGGCACTAATAGGTACTCAGGAATTATTTGAAGAATTCAAAGAATAAATGTATATGCCAGGGGGTGGGGATGGTTAGGGAGTAGGGGTCATGTTGGCTACAAATGCAGACCCATGGGCAGAAACTTTTAAAGATCATGCTGTGGGTTATGTACCATCTTCTCCGGGCCCTCCTATAGAGAACTGGGGCCCCTAGAGATTGGTACATCCAGCCCTTTCTTTCATTGTTTGCAAATTGAGGAGAGCAACTTGCCCAAAGGAACCCAGGCCCTCTTGCCTCCCAGGGTCCTCTGCTGTTTGAGGTCCTGGCCTGTTGATTGACAGAAGTGGGGGTGCAGTGTCTGGGACCTGCTTTTTGAGTTAGCGCTGCTGGAGGGGAGGAACAGGGCTTCACTTGGTTTTGAGCCATGACCTCGGTGCCCCAGGCCCCTTGGCCCCTACCACCTGCCCGGAGCCTGTGTGCACACCCAGCATGTGCTCACACACGTCTGTACCCGGGCCCAGTCCCCCCTTATGGTCACTGTCACCGAAGCACATATGGATAAATGTACACACACACACACTCAGACACACAGGATCCCAGGAGACATCTGCACATACCTCCTCCCTCATAGGGGAGGAGCCCCGAGTCCCGGGGAGACTACCCTGCTGTGCTGCCTGGGCGGAGAGGGTATCTGGCTAGGTGGGCTGGGAGGCCCACTGAGACTGAGTCACCCCTTCTGAGTCAGGGGCCCTCCCCCCTCCCTCTAACCTTCCCCCTCCCCTCTCCTTCTCTCTGTCTGCGGAGCCCCTAAGAGGGCTTGGCCCAGCCGGGAGGGCTGAGGCCGGCCTGGGCGGGTGTGGGGACAGCGGAGACCCAAGCGTTGGCTTCCGATGCAAGGTCCCGCAGAGGTCCGACTGCAGCTCTGGCATCCGCGGAAGGAGGTGGCCTGGGAGCCTGAGCGATAGAAAGGGAGAGGGAGAGGGAGAGGGAGAGGTGGAGAGAGAGGGAGATATATCTAAACATCAATGTGAGAAACATTGATCTGTTGCCTCCTCATGCACCCTGACCCAGGATCAAACCCTCAACCTTTTGGTGCACGGGCCATGCTCCAACCAACTGAGCTATATGGACAGAACCAGAGTGGGGCTCGTGACTCAAGTGTATGTGAGCTAAGAGGAGTAAGAGGTGTGAATTATCTATTGACAGGAAGGGCTTCCATAAAGGAGGTCATAGATAGGAGGCATGGGTTTAGGGGAGAAGAGAGAGGATGGGTGGTTCTGCCACCCTGGTTTCCTCCTATGGCATCTATATCTACATCGGGGAGCCGAGAGGGCGCCCCGCACCCAGCCTGCCGGAGATGGGGACTCCCAGGCTCAGGTAGGCACCTGGGGGAGATCAGGTAGAAGGGGGTGGGGGTGGCTCGGCACTTGTAGGCCCAGACTCCACTGTAGGGGGAGGACTGGGGGCGAGACGGAGAGGAACTGAGTTTTTGGCCGCTGGCCCCCTGGCCAG